AAATGCTCTCATTAACAAACACTTATTAACCTGAACAGAGCTATGAGACCATGGGCAAAGTAGGGTTCTTTTAAAAACGCAGCTATGTCTCTCATAATCAAGAGAGTCGTCAATTGAAATAAAATTTATGGAAGTCTACCTGGTTCTGCTGTATTTTGAAAATCCCACAATTCCCTAACTCACACAAAAAACAACAAGATGATTAGATAGCACCAAAATCTACCGTGATTACTGCGATAATGTGCTTAAAATATAGAAACTTTTTAATCAATTATTTTCTCAACCACTGTTCTAAATGCTTACTTTCTTGCCTTCTTAAATATTTATGCAATATAGAGAAAGTGTTTAAATTCTGCGGTAAAAGGCTGAATTTTCGACACAAACATGTTTTTGCTGGACCCTGGTAATGAAAAGAGTAGATAAATTGTGTTCATATGTGTAGTAAATTACTTTCTCTTGCAAGTAGGGTAGTCAGAATACACGTTTGGTGAGTCCTTGATACCGAAAAATTGGATTACGGCAAAACATTTGTCCGTCCATGTGTCTGTCTGTAGATAACGCTAGTGGCTAAACCGTAAGCATTTTTTTTCACCAACATTGATATTTCCCGATCGATCTGACAGATGTCGAGGTGTTTGAAACGGATATTTTAATTTTTGGGGTACTTTACATGAAGCCTCAACAATATTTTCAAAATTTTCTAAAAATTGGCTGCAATGTTTTTCTTTTAACTGCTTTTTTCATAAAACATAACACGCAAACCAAAATGGCGTTGGGCCCATTTCCGAAGAATTCTATGAATTTTCGAAAATTACAAATTTAGAAGTAATGTGGGAAAGTTTGTGTTGTCCTAGCAACTCTAGTTCATCCGCACTTCTGGGAGTTCAGGCTTTAAACGTTTGTGATGGTTGTTTCGGTATTTTAGAGTTGTTTAGATGGCTAGATCTTTTTTTTCGCCACTTAAGCAGACTTTGTCCTCTGTTATCCAGATTTTCTGACTTCCTCAATCGTTCATTGTTGGCCTTTTAGTTTATCTTAAGGGTTGATTCATTCTTTGTTTGAATACTTATTTTTAGAGTAATACCAGATTGCATATTCTTGGAGGATTTGGAGATAAGTCTTCCTACGGATAAATAAAAGGAAATTCTAACTTCTTCCAACATCTGAGCGGTGTTTATATTATTTTTAACACGAACCAGATTCATTAATCGCTTATTATCGCTATTGATGTAGCAAGACTTGTACTGGAGAAGCAGAGTGCCGCACTTCATGAGCAGCTGCACGATTCCTAGCGATGGAATTACTCAAGCAGCTTTCAGTCATCTAGCATTCATTCGGCACGTACTCTGACGTCTCGTGTGTATTATACCTCTTCATCTTTCCATGTTGAATTCTACATTTTCTGAAATCAGGGTATTTGAAGAGAATTGATTGACTGATGTTTCCAGGTATGCCAACTGATAGTTCCATTAATACAGTAAATGTATTCAGGGAAGTTACGGGCTTCCTCCCCAGCTGAATGGCGCCGACATGCTTGTCGGCTTGCCGGTGACGCAAAACATAGATTTTGACTACACAACGTGTTAGAAGTAATTTACTAAATATAAATACATGATTTATCCACTTTTCGTTAGTAGGGTCCGGCTATGAGTGTTTCTCGGTCGAAAATTCGCTGTTTTCCGGCGCGGGAATACATAACTTCTCTTTACTATTACTTAATTACTTTTTCTTCTAGCGAAGTAAGTGCAAGAAAGGAAAAAGTGGGGTATCTTGATCAATTTGCAACTTTGCTGTTTTCCGATTTTTCTTATTAATGAATTCTGAAATTCCTCGTAATAGTT